GAAATAAAATATGATGGCGTATACCCTTCTTTCGCACTTGGATAGCCGTGACGTCGATGTTGTAGTGTTTTCTGGTGATATTGTTACAGTCGATTCCGCCGGGGTCGGCGGGTTCCTCCCACACCCCGAGAGTCGTCGGGATCTCGGCCTTCGGCGTGTCCTCGTCGCCATATCCCACGCGGAGGCTCTGGTGTCCGACGTCGAAGATGATAGCACCTACCTCGTCTGGCGTAACAATCACGAACAGCCACGCGGAATTAGTGCGGCGTGTAATCGCAATCTTTTTTCTAGTCGGAATAATTATGGAGCGCGGCCCCGTACTTACCACCGCCGTAGACACCACCGCTCATAGTATCTGAAGGGAGAGGAAACCTGGCGCATGCCCAGATGGACTGTTTCACCCTTACGACGTGTATATATGTATACACACGTATACACACACTCGCACATGCAAATGTACATGCACACATTGCCGAATCTGTACGAATTGAGAGGGTTGCATGGTTATACATATATCCTCTTAAGACTAATCGATCGCTGGTTACAGCGACGAACATAATGATCTTTTTATAGAATGTAACACAACATAATTCAGTTTAGTTTAATATTTTAAGCAACTGATGAATAGCAATTTATCTATAAATTAATATTTTTTTTCTATAAATTAAATCGCCATGAAATCTTTAGAAAAAGAATATTGCGAAAATAGATAGTAAATATTAGTAAACTCGCCCTCGTAATGAACGGGATTGGAACCACCTAGTATCAGTTCACCACCCATCGCGGACGAAAAATCTCCGTACAGGTTGTGTAATTTTGTATTGTACATTTGCATTTTGCATTGCATGAAAAGACAAAGTATATAATTAAAAAAATAGTTTTAAACACACGTGAGACATACGGAGAGATACATACCGATTTAGATAAAAACTAAAAACGTGTCGGAACTCCTTGTGTTGTTCGAGTAGGTTGTTAAAGACAGGTAGGTTGTTAAAGCCAAGAATCTTTCGAAAACCAGTTAACGAGAGGTAACCCATCGCCCCAAGACACCGTCGAATTTTGTATTGGAGAGGGATCTTGCCAAATAGTCCGTCGTTTCTCCGCATGTTTGGAATACAACCTTTAAGGCCAGCAACCTACGAAATGTTGATATTAATATAATATAATCGCGTATGTTTTTTTTTTCGGAGAATAACAGCACCATGTATTCCTTAAAAAACTTTCATAGATTATGATTATAATTAGAATTGAGTCGGACCATTTACTTGACGATGATTTACGATTACTATACATCAGTAGACAAGGACCCAAACACACAGCCATCTTTTGTAATAAAGAAAAAATAAATCATTCTGTGATATATATGTGGTGGACTTTGTATGAACATACTTATTATGTTTCACTGCACAAAAAGTAATAAATATAATTAAATCAGTTAATATTGAAAAGTTTAGAAATATAAAAATTTCCCTTTATTAATCTAAGTATATAACTAACAGTAGTTTAAATCATCAAATGTATTTACGTTTACATCTTTTGGTTTAGCACGTGAGCTGTTTTGCATAAAAAATTATTTGTATCTTTAAAGTAAGCGTGCTAAATAATGTAAATAAAAGAGTATGTTAGTATGGAACTTAGCTACGTAATATTTACCTTACCACTGATTCGAATCTTTGAAACGGTTGCTTTAAAGATTTTATAATTTTACATGAAATGTAAATGGAATAGATACAATTCTACAGCATTATTCTTATCTTATATTTTTACTTGATATCAATCATTAAACAAGAAAAATATAATTAAGATCATTTTAATACCTAAAACATTAATTTTTTAAATACAAATGTACATATAGGAATAATAGAATGTCTGGGAGAGAGGTAGCGATGTTACGATATACTTACAGCAAGCAGGGTAGCTAACGTTGCAGTCTTTGGATGGTACCCAGAGATCTGATGAACCAATATCGATAAGTATTTTAAACGTCTGCGCTGGGGTTCCAATTGCGATAGTACCGTAGTACTGAAGATCTTTATAATCTAGACTTATACCCAACTCCGGCATTCCCGATGAACGCCGTAGTCTCCGTTGAAGATTTTTCAAAAAAGGATGTCCTGTATAACGGAATTCTTGAAACAACATAAAAAAAATTTTGTTATAATATATGCGTATATGTATCGTATAAACGCGAATGTATGTACATATATCGTAGAATATAAATACGAATTTCTAACAATTTATTTGATCATTTTCAAGCACTTTTTATTTAAAAACTATTAAAGCCTCAACATTTTGACATTAAGAAATAAATGCTATCTGCATTACGCATTAGAATGTAGTTGAGTATTTTAAGTGAGATTGGTGTCATCATGAAAAGACTTACTCGACATAATTACTCGATAATCTTTCATTGTGTATTATATTTTATTTAAAACTAGCAGTAGTTAATACATTATGCAAGTTTCTAAAAACAACAATTTTAAAATATAAGTTTATAATATTAACGATAGTGAGATACCTAAACCAGTTTTGCAATATCGTAACAATTTATTAATTAGAATACATACGACATGATAATTTTCGTATCGACAATTTGATATCTATGTGTCAAGAATTTTAAATAATATTTATTAATAAGCAAAAGATTTATGCGTATATACGTTTGTGTAAGCATAAGAAATGCAAAAAGTTATATATTGGTTACAAATGCGGTATGTCATACTCTTATACATATAAGCAGAATATTATATGATATCTTGTACTCGTACGTAAGCAGAAAATTTATAAGGATAAACGAGATAATATTTTTTGGGATGCTACATTAAGATGAGATTGAAAAGACGATATATGAAATCAATATTCAGTGTAAAAAATACTTTATTTTAATAGACTTCTATACAAGTTGTGTTCACAATATCTAACAATTCGATAGTTGCCGAAAGAACAAGATGTACCATATCGTTGGTACAATAAATATTGCATATGTCTTTCTTCTAATTCTCACATACGTATTAATTTAAAAATATACCATATAAATAGTCCATATAAAATTACAAACCATATGTCGGTCGATATTCTAAAAAAACTATGACTTATTTGTTTAGCAATGTCATTTAGATTTCCTAATATTTAATGATAACTTTATGAGAAGGCAATCAAAATTTAATTTCTTGCAAGGGCGAATCCCACTTGGTTGTTCCCCATGTCAAATACGGTGTAGTACCGACCAATAAATACATCGCCCAAAATCCACTCTACACCATTAATCGGATTAACACCTTGGAAGGCGAACACACAAAGGCTTTTTGTTACCTATGAGACATTAAATATGATATTTGTATTCCAAAAACAATTTAAACCTTTTTATAATAATATTCCTTACCTTCAACATATAATCTTGACCAGTGAGTGGTAACGTCTTACCACCTATGACAAAATTGATATAGGGCAAGTCAGAAATCTCGTTGCAGGGCACCTTTAAACGAAGGTCAATGTTAGTAATCCATATTAATAATCCGTAACTTATCAAACATTTATTAATTTATTTCAATAATTCATTTGAAGTAGTTGAAAGCTACCATTGCAGAAGGAGATAATCAATTACCTCATCGACAACACCAATCTGTCTCTGAATATCAGCGATAGCCTCCGGTGGTCCACCTATCATAGAGAAACCCGTGTCTACGATAGCTTGACAGCCGTCCGAGCAAGAGTTGTAATTTTGTACTTGAATCCTACAGTGGGATAGCATTGCCAATTAGCTGACATATAATCCGCAATTAACATACGTCTAATTTAAAAAAAAAAAAAAAAACTACATACTTATCAATTTCGATCTGCCAGAATCGTGGGCGGGTTACATTCACATACGTAAACTCGCCCATGTAATGGGAAGGATTGATGTTACCCAATAGAAGTTCACCGCCTACGTAATTGTCCTCGTAATTCCTGTATAGGAAAGACAAAGTATGTAATTTAAAAAATAATATTAAACACATGCACGTGAGGCATACGGAAAGATACATACCGATTTAGCCAGAAGCTAAAAATTGGTCGGGACACCAAGTGTTGTTTAATCATATTTTGGAAGACAGTAGGCGTTTTATAGAAAGATAAAGCGGGATAACCCATCCCAAGAACGCCGTCGCATTGTGACCGGTCCCATAAGTTTGTCGAAAAATTAAATATTTCGCCAAACTTTTGCGATGTAACTTTTAAACCACCAATCTACGAAACGTTGATATTATTAATAAAGTATAATTGCGTGTTTTTTTTTCTTTTTTTTTTATATATAGAATAATAGCAACATGTGCTTTTTAGAAAATTTGCATAGATTACGACTGTGATTAGAATTAAATATATTATTTACTTGACGATGACTTACCTTTA